CCAGAAACCCTACCTGTTTGAGAGTTTATGCCAAGACAACACAATAAGGAACACTAAACCCTTCACCCCAACCCCTAAACCCTAAACCCTCAACCCTAAACCCTAAACCCTAAACCCAAAGCCCCCAAGCCTTAAAAGGAATCCCCCCCAGGCTACGGCAATCGGACCTGTCGTCGGCTGTGCCGGTCATTGGCCCTTTGCAGCTGGGACAAGCTACCCGAAGCCTTTTTGGGTGTACTAGGCGTATAGAATAGGGTTTACATCTAAAATAGGGTTTAGGGTGCGGGGTTTAGGTTTCAGGGATTAGGGTTTAGGATTCAGGGTCTAGGGTTTAGGGTTTAGGGTTCAGGGTTTAGGGTTTAGGGTTTAGGGTGTACAAGGCGTATAGAATTTTCATGAAATTTGGGGTTTCGGACTTAGGAAATTGGCTAGGGGATAGGATTCAAGGGTTTGGGGATGCACATAAGGGCTTCCTAAACCCTAACCCCGCCTAAACCCTAAACCCCGAATTTTGTTATGCAGGGGTTTAGGGGTCTGGGTCTGGGGATTAGGTTTAGAGGTTAGTTGTTAGGGTTTAAAGTTTAGGTCTGCTCAGTTTTATTATTATTATTATTGTTATTATTATTATTATTAGTATTATTATTATTATTGTTATTATTATTATTATTATTTTTTTTCTATACATATTTGTTTTTTGGGTGGTCCTCGAAGTTCTCTGTAAGGGTTTAGGTTGTTTTGGGGGTTTAGGGTTTGTTAGTTTAATGTTCAAGTTAAGCTTGGGGATTTTGATTGAGTTGACTCAGCGATCTTACAAGCTTATACTGAAATTTCCTTGGTTCAGGACCCTATTATGACTGGCTGTTGAAGCAGCCAAAGTTATGCGGTTTCAGGTATGACCCTAAACCTTAAACCCTTAACCCCCAAACCCTAAACCCTATACCCCTAAACCCGCCTAAACCCTGAACCCTGGACCCTAAACCCTATAAACCCTGAGCCCTAAACCCTAAACCCTGAACCCCAAACCCTGAACCCTGAACCCCTTTCTCTGCTTGAGGTAGAGCAACTCAAGGGATGGATGGCAGAGGTTCCAGTAGTGTCGGCGGCCTGAAAAAATGGGCAGGTTTAGGGTTCAGGGTTTAGGGTTTAGGGTTCAGGGTTTAGGGTTTGGGGTTCAGGGTTTAGCGTTTAGGCAGGTTTAGGGTTCAGGATTTAGGGTTTAGGGTTCAGGGTTTAGGGTTTGGGGTTCAGGGTTTAGCGTTTAGGGTTTTTTTGGGTTTACGGTTTGGGGTTTAGGGTTTAGGGTTCAGGGTTTAGGGTTTGGGGTTCAGGGTTTAGCGTTTAGGCAGGTTTAGGGTTCAGGATTTAGGGTTTAGGGTTCAGGGTTTAGGGTTTGGGGTT